TATTTCTAGATCCTGACGCTGTGGAGAACATCTCCCCGTGGATGATAGACGACCGAGGTAACGAATGGAACGATGAAAGTGAGTATTGGGCTGCAGAGCGCACTAGAAATGCTCTCCGAAGAGTTTGTAAATCATGGAATCTTTATCTTTGCTCCTATCAACATCGTTTTGTACGGGTTGTCGATGCAGTCCACGGTCTGGTGGCTCCCCATAGCTTGAAGTCTGCCAACCGGATCTGCTTGACAGGTCATAATGGACTTGGTTGCGCAGTGTGCAGATTGATACCCCGCGACGAAGAGGGTTCAGATGGCCCTCAAACCTTCCCAATGCTCTGTTGGCAGCTCATCCGACAAGTACAGCCGCTCGAAACGCGGATATTAGACTGTATAGTGCTCAATTTCAACATGAGTGGGTTTCCGACCTTCGCTTTCCCGAGGTTGGAGGTGTTTCAAGGATCGTGGTGCAGGTATGGTGGGACCTACCTCGAAATTATCCGTTCCCTTCCATCTCTCCGTCACTGCTTCGGTGACGATATAAAGGTCCAAGAGGAACTACCTTCATTTAGGTCGTCTAATTTGACAACACTATCCATCCCGTTCTACGACCGATTGCTGCCTCCTGACTACTTCACAAATCAACAATGGCATCTTCCAGCACTTCGGCATTTATTCATAAACACTACCCGATGGGAGACGGTCGAAGCCCTCCAGTCTGTCAAGGCCTTGATCAAAGAGATTGGAAAGGAGTTGCGCTCACTCTATCTTCCTCGCACGAACAAGGGGTTTGACCTGTCAGCGGATATTTGGTCATCTTGCCCCAACTTGGAGCTCTTGCATACATCTGCTCCACTCCTACTCCCGCCACCTCTCGGTCACCCTTTTCATATCCTTAGTATCTCCTCACTCCGCCTTTATGACGAAATTCCCCTCAAAAGGTACATACCTGATTGGCCAGCAATTCGTACAGTTCGAATGAATACGAAGTGGGATGGTGCCCTTGAAAGCAGTAAACTGGAACTTTTCAGACCCGGTCTACGTTTGGAAGATGCATGCGGTGAGCTGTATGCTGATTATCTGGCGAGATCCAAGTCTTCACACGACTGAGGTCCCAAAACCAGCAAAAGCGTGTCACCCAACTTGTCGACTGTCCTTATCCTTCCATTGTTTTCTGTATCCAGTGGTGTGGTCAAAGGTAAACCATAAGCCACAGTAGACCACTCTACCCAGCCATCATGTCT